TCTGTGCAGGTTTTTGGCCTTTGTTTACCTTTCGTATTTGAAACAATGTTGCGATCCTGCTGGCTGAAGCCTGGCAGACTAATGCAGGTTTCTGGGGTTTTGTTTAGCTTCTATATTTGTTATGTAGTTGCTTAGAGTTGCAACTCAGAGGCCTGAAGCGGCAGGCGGGGAACAGAACATTGGAGTCCTCCGTCACTGAAGCAAGCAAGCCTCATGTTAGTTTCAAGCTGCCTGGCGGTCGGCCACCATCTTGGCTGGCAGTTAATTTGCATATTGCCCTGATTAGCCAATGGGAAGGGTAGCAGTTGTATGCCAATTACCATGTTTCTCTTTTATTAGATAGGATGCTAGAGTCCTGTGTGATTCTATCCCTGACTTGGCAAATTGCTAAGCTCTCATTTAGAGAAAATCCTCAATTGACTAAAAATACTTTGACACAGCAATTCTCAACCTGTGGGTCGCGACCCCTTTGGCGGTCAAACGACCCTTTCACAGGGGTCGCCTAAGACCATCCTGCATATCAGATATTTACATTACGATTCATAACAGTAGCAGCATCACAGTTATGAAGTAGCAACAAAAATAATTTTATGGTTGGGTCACAACATGAGGAACTGTATTTAAAGGGCCAGAAGGTTGAGAACCACTGCTTTAACATATTTAAGACAGTAAGTTCATTATAGGAATTGATAACTCCTCAATAATGATTAGGTAATAATTTTGATATGGTATAATGCTGATATAATATTGGTGATCTTTAGTTAAGCAGACCACTGACTTGATTTGAGACAACTAGGTGTATTATTTAAAAAAAAAAAACAATGTTTTTAAGAGTAAGAATAAATCATTGTACACTTTAAATACTTGTGAAGCTTTGAATGTATTGTGGGGGATAAAAGCAAAATTTTCTTTTCTTGACCTGGTAAAGTTGGAAGCCATTGAAAGAAGGGTAGGATATGGCAAGAGAAGGAAAGTGACAGTAGGGATGAGGGCCTGGGACGATGAAAAACAAGAATTAACATTTTCTGCACTTAATATTAGTGCTGTGAAAACCAGCTACAGGATAGACATACTTCTGGTTTTGGTTCTTCCAGTGAATTCAGGGTGCAAACCAACATCATTATGAAATTTTTCTGATTAGATTTACATGAAATTGCATTAGGGCTTCTAAGTTGGTAACACATGCCTTTACCATCATGGTAAAAGGAAATTCAACAATTACCTGACCTAACAGAAGGATTGCTCCGAAAGGAAGGAGTTAGGGAAGTATATATCTTCCCCCTTCACATCTACAGCAGATCTTGACATTCCCCTCCTTTTTTTCTGGAACACAAGGTATCAGTTCCTCTCACCTTTCTGTTCATTGCTTCAATTTTTCTTTAAATTCTGGAGCTTTCCATTCAACATGTAAACTGACTTGAGTCTCACAGGTTAAACACAATAAAATGAACAATAATCAACACCTTCTTCCTGAAGTATTCCTCTCTACTCTTCTGCTTAGTGAAAGCTTCTATACCATCTCTACTTTTTCTCTTTCCATTCAGTAATCCACAGGAATCTTCTTTTCACCGTTACCATTCTATGGAGAGTACATTCTAAGGTTGCCTAAAAGACCTTTTGCTTCCTTAAGCTCTTCAATGCTCATGGCACTTGCTGCCGTTGGCTATTTCTTCTCCTTTGGCTTCCTATTATCAAACAGGCCAATTGCTGAAAACAAGTCTATCTAACAATTGCTTTAAGTTTTAAAATAGGTAAATTTGTTAACTTTAGTGGTTTAATTCTTTGGTGAATTAATTGATTACTAGAGAATTGACTATTTGGGAAATTTGTCCTGAGGACTCCTTTTCTTAAAAAAAATAAAAAATGGTTGACACTCTTACAAATGTCCCCTATTTCCCTGTCCTTTACCAACTCTACCTAGACACCACCCCCCTACTCCCCAGTCTTCACCATCTGTATGTATAAAGAGGTAATATGCAAAATGTCTGGGACACTGTAATGTCACAACCGCTCAGGAGGAGGCTGCACGTGCAGGTTGGTGGGAGAGGACTGTGTGTGAGGTGAGGCAAGCCACGGATGGCGCAGGCCTGGAGACAGGAGGGCCTGCCAGCCACGGCGCGCCAGCAGTCCCACCTCTGCTCATGAGCTACAGAGGAAACACCTTTTCAGACCGCTCATTGGCTAAGCTCCCGGTACGCCATTTGCAGTGTACTTGGTAACTTCGGTAATAAGAATCTAAGAAGGTGATCTAGGGTTTTTCCACCTCACTCCTGGAGGAAAAAACGAAGGTCCGCTGCTGGAATGGCTAAGAAATGTCATATCCTGCCCTAGTCGGTTTGGCTCAGTGGATAGAGCCTCATCCTGTGGACTGCAGGATCTGGGTTCAATTCTGATCAAGGGCGTGTACCTAGGTTGGAGGCTCCTCCCTGGCCGGGGCCCAGGTCAGGGCTCATGCAGGAGGCAACCAATCGAAGTGTCCCTCTTACATTGATGTTTCTCTCTGTCTTTCTCTCTTCCACGCTTTCTAAAAATCAATGGAAAAATATCCTCAGGTGGGGATAAAAAAAAAAAAAAGAGAGAAATGTCATATCCTATGAAAGAGACATCTTAAAAATGCCTAAAGAAAGTTGTCATGTTTTTGTGATAAAGGGACTGGAGTCCATGTTGATGAAAACACTTTGGAAATTGTGGCGGCTGGCAGTGACAGCAGCAGCCGGCTGATGGGGGTGGCTCCTTCTACTGATCAGCCCGGTCGCCTCCCATGGGGAGTGGGTCTGAGCTGTCAGTAGGACATCCCTTGAGGGCTCCTGGACTGTGAGAGTGGGCAGGCTGAGCTGAGGGGGATCCCCCCGCCCCCAGTGCACAAATTTTGTGCACTGGGCCTCTAGTATTATTATCTGAGTCCATGGGCTATTATGCATATCTGCATATCTGTTCTTTGGCTAATCTCTTCTAGTCCCACCACCATCATAGTCTTCTCTGGGGTCTGTCAGTCTGTTCCATGTATCCATGCTCTGGCTCTATTTTTTTCATTAGATTCCACATATAAGTGAAATCAAATGGCATTTGTCTTTCTTTGATTGGCTTGTTTCAGTTAGAGCATATATCCCAAGGATCCCGAAACACCAGTCAGAAAGAATATATACACCAGTATGTCATAGCAGCATTATTTACAATAGCTAAGATATGGAAACAGCCCAAGTGCCCATCAGTAGATGAGTAGATAAAAAAAGCTGTGGTACATTTATACCATGAAATACTATATGGCAGTAAAAAAGAAAGATCTCTTACCCTTTGACACACCATGCAGGGACCTGGAGAATATTATGCTAAGCAAAATAAGTCAGTCATGAGGGGCTGATGGCTATTTTCAGATTGACCAAGCCCCTGGCAACTGAAGTTCCCAGCCTTTCCTCCTTTTTTTTTTCTTTTATTAGCTCCAGCTCCGTGGCAGTGGCAACTGGAAGCAGGTACAGTGGGGCCTTGACTTACGAGTGTCCTGACTAATGAGTTTTTCGAGTCTCTCAGCCGATTTTTTGCTTTGAGTTGCAAGCTAAAATTAGGGTTACGAGCCAGCTTCAGATACCCCACTGCTAGGTGGCACATCGAACGTCACAGTGAACACCACAACATCAGCCCAGCATCACGTATCTCACTCGTT